CTAGAGGGTGCACCATCACTATGAACTGAACTGAACTCACCAGCTGAGCTGGACCTTTCCAAGGCCAAGACAATATGGTGTTTTTCTATCTATCACACCATATCCACATCCTATAAAGGAGATAGCTATAGGATTACAATTTTTTCTATGATGTTGACAAAAGAGGGAACAATTATAAGAGAGCAAAAAAAGTTATTGTTTTACAATATTGAGTTATCTGTGTGTTGTCTGTTAGTGGGCTTTGCTTCTCCTCCCGTGGTGTGTTCAGCCTGTAAGGGGAAGATTTCACAGATGGTCAGGCAGTCAATCAGTCGCCCATCATGTTCTCAGCAAAACTGTCCCCTTTGTTTTCCCATTGAGGCCTGGACTGTACTGGTATCTCACAGAGAGAGAGAGGGAGGCATGGAGAGGGAGGTCTTGGTGGTGCCCTTTTTTATGGCATTTTATGGACTGGAATAACTAAAACCAGGTGTTTGTTTGACTGTTAATGTTGGGAACATACGTGAACAGTCTAAATATAATTTATCCGGAACCCTCTTGTCTGCCATTGCTTTGATTTGCGTCCTCTGTGTGAGTTTCTATCATAGCGAAATCTCTCTGAAGTAATGTATTTACAGTCACGAGTGAAGGGTGCGGACAACAAAGAGTTAATGTCCTTTGGTTTGATGTCTGCAGAGGTCACAATACTCTATATTTCTGATTGTTAGCAGATTGCAGTCAAAAAGTGGTAGCTGTACAATTGTTTAACATTAAACAACATACTTTAATGGCGAGCTGTCCAGGCAGCTATTGAGACATATGGAAACAATTGGAATCGCTGTAATAAAAAAAAAAGCTTTTTCAAAGAATTACAATGTTAGTGGGTCTGAGACTTGTAACATAAATACTTTACACTCCTTTACATTCAATTGTATCATATGATCCACAAAAAGTGGTGGAGGCGTGACACTCTTATCCATTAAAACATATTTATTATGAATTAATAAACAAATTATGATATGATATCATTTTCAACATAGACGCCAAAAGGAACAATCGCCCAAACACACTGCAGTGTCCCTGTACCTCTATATAATCATTGCTCAGAGATATATAGACTATATATTCCCTATACAGTCTAATTGTAGATTGTTTTTGAGCCCTCCACTCTGACCATATCTATGTGGTTTCTATGGCAATTATGTGACAGTAATATCATCCCCTCTTGTAAGATGTGTATTTTTACCAAACCTCAAAAGTGATTTTGTAAATATGTGTTTTGTATAAGAAAGCGCTGACAAATCAGATTTCTCAGCTTTATAATAATGATATACTGTGTGTATGTATGTCCGACTAGAGATGAGCTGTATGTAGAGAGATAGTGCTGGGAAGGCAAGTGTGGTACTCTATTCCATCCTTCACTCATCTATCTGTGTGACTTATCTGTAATAAAAAGCTATGAGAAAATGAAATCAAATGTTTGCTCCTTCTGTGTCCCAAACTATGGTGTGATTGAGACTGTGTGGAGAAAGACACACTTTAGTAAGGATTTCTGATATTCAAAACTCACTCCTCCCTATTTATATCAGTCTATCTTTAGTTGATATGACTGTCTGGAACTGTTGAGTGTCTCTTCCTTATTTTAATTATTAGATCAATCTTTCACCAACATGATCCAACATTTCTGAAGTCTGTTTACATAAAGAAAGATATTGTGAGTAACAGTAGTAATATCAATTTTGATTCCACACTGCTCTCCATGGGTAACAGTGGTAATAGTCCCTGCTCCTGTCCCTGTCCCTGTCGGTCCCTGTCTGTCCCTGTCCCTGTCTGTCCATGTCTGTCCCTGTCTGTCCCTGTCTGTCCCTGTCTGTCCCTGTCTGTCCCTGTCCCTGTCTGTCCCTGTCCCTGTCGGTCCCTGTCTGTCCCTGTCCCTGTCTGTCCCTGTCTGTCCCTGTCCCTGTCTGTCAATGTCTGTCCCTGTCTGTCCCTGTCTGTCCCTGTCCCTGTCTGTCCCTGTCCTTGTCTGTCCCTGTCTGTCCCTGTCTGTCCCTGTCCCTCCATGTCTGTCCCTGTCCCTGTCTGTCCATGTCTGTCCCTGTCCCTGTCTGTCCCTGTCCCTGTCTGTCCCTGTCTGTCCATGTCTGTCCATGTCTGTCCCTGTCCCTGTCTGTCCATGTCCCTGTCTGTCCTTGTCTGTCCCTGTCCCTGTCTGTCCCTGTCTGTCCCTGTCCCTGTCTGTCCCTGTCTGTCCCTGTCCCTGTCTGTCCCTGTCTGTCCCTGTCCCTGTCTGTCCCTGTCTATCCATGTCCATGTCTGTCCCTGTCCCTGTCTGTCCCTGTCCCTGTCTGTCCCTGTCTGTCCATGTCCCTGTCTGTCCCTGTCCCTGTCTGTCCCTGTCTGTCCCTGTCCCTGTCCCTGTCTGTCCCTGTCCCTGTCTGTCCATGTCTGTCCATGTCCCTGTCTGTCCCTGTCTGTCCCTGTCCCTGTCTGTCCCTGTCCCTGTCTGTCCCTGTTTGTCCCTGTCCCTGTCTGTCCCTGTCTGTCCATGTCCCTGTCTGTCCCTGTCTGTCCCTGTCTGTCCATGTCCCTGTCTGTCCTTGTCTGTCCCTGTCTGTCCCTGTCTGTCCATGTCCCTGTCTGTCCTTGTCTGTCCCTGTCCCTGTGCTGCTCTCTGCTGTGCTGTGAGACAGTCGACACCCGGTATCAGCCACAGCCTCTGGGTCTCTTGATTGCCTCTCTGTGTGTACAGGAAGCGATTAACAACGAGGGGATGTCCTGGACAATGGCAGCTTGGCTGGCCCTACCGCGTGGGAAGAGAGGGAGGAGGGAGAGAGGGAGGAAAGGAGAGAGGAGGGAGGAGGAGAGAGAGGGAGAGAGGGGAAACAGAGGGTAGTGTGGGAGGCAGAGAGAGGAGAGAGAGAGAGAGAGCAGTGTGGGAAAGAGGGGAAAGAGAGAGAGTGTGATAGACAGAGTGGTGTGGGAGAGAGGGGAGAGAGAAAGAGAGGGAATAGAGGGAAAGAGAGCGGTGTGGGATAGAGGGGAGAGGTAGGAGAGAGAGAAGAGAGAGCACAGTGCTGCTTTGTCCCAGAGCCATGGTTGCAGCCCACTCTTCTCCCGGTGTGCTTGGCTCCCACGCTCCCCCAAGTTACTGCTGCTGCTACTGGGACGCCCGTCAGAGGAGTGATAAAACAGAGCCTCCTCCTCCTCCTCCTTTCATCAACTCTCTGCCAAATAATCCTCCTCTATCTCTCCCACCCTCCTATCCCTCTCTCTTTCACTTGGTTTCCATCCATCCTCCTCCTCCTTTCATCAACGCTCTGCCAAAATATGCTCCTCTCCTGTTTCTCTCCCACACCCTTTCCTCCTTCTTTCTCTCACTCCGTCTCCATCCATCCTCATTATTGTTCTTCCTGTCGTTTGTTTGCCAGACTTGTAAGGTGATTCTCATCAGTAACTATGGGGAAGAGTCTACACTACAGAGTCTAGTATTTTCTCATGTAAACCCTCCAGGCAATTCTGGACTTACTTCATAGGTGTTACAGCACTGCCAATTGCAATATTTTGTCACCACCTGCTGGTCATATGCGATTCTACAACTGTGGATGATGATCGCTTGCTTTCCTTGGCCTTGTCCATATTTTTCAAATTTGTCCAAACTAATTCAGAGACTGAGAAATAAACATAGTTATATTATAGAAATAATAATACATACCAACAAGTGACATAGACACAGTAGATTAATCTGTATGTGTGATTGGACATGCTCAAAAACAAATGAATAGGCCCTTTCTGTCTTCTTCCAAGCTAAACAGACAATACATCAGAAATAGAATAAGCACACACAAAGCCAATATCATTCACAGAACCCCAAACCTTTATTAACCACAGGTTGCTCACAAAGATATATGTGGAGGGGGGAAACACACAAACAGGAAGAAAGCGAAGCAGGCAGGCAGATTCACCACCACGGACAGGACGCTGTGAAGTCATAGACAGGACGCTGTGATGTCATCAGTATGTGACCGACAGTCAGATATACAGCTCCAACTTCTTGGCTGTGCTCCCTATTTAGGTTCTATATCAGAGAAACAGCACGCACAATCCACCCACCCCTCCTGAAACACGCACACACACACACCTGACCTGTATACACTCGCATGCACCCTTTGCAGATGTCATGTTAACACATCTAACATCTTCCAGCTGTTATTTTAAGTTTATGTGTTGATTGTTTTCCTATGGCTTACATGTTGCCTACTTCAGCTGTTTATGACCCTTTCCTGTGCCATAGTCTGCTGTACCCAGTTAAAAGCTGTTTAAATACTAAGAAGAAGGTACAATGATTCATTCTCGATAGTGAGAGAGTTATTCTATGATTCTCCATATATAGAGTGAAACCTCCCTAGTAGCATTTGGCATTGGTTCCTTTCTGGTAAGATATGAAAGAAATGAGAGGGCCCATAAGGTTGTAGAAGGACATGGATGTAACTTATGGATCTACCATTGCCTCTTCGTTAGCTGCTATATGAGCTTGTAGCATTCTAGGCACGATTACATTATCTACATGTCTAAGACGGTACATACATGCTGAGAGATTAATTGACAGGGGACGCAGGGGGTCTTGGGAACCAGGAAGGATCATAACACCCCTCTGTGACATCACGGTATGAGCCAGGGATGTCATGTGACCTCTGCGATGCCCAACTGACAGAATTTAGCAAGCTCCTCTTGAGCGACGTGTCATGTTTGCCAAATTCCTCAAAATGTGTGTGTGTGTAAGTGTGTTTGAGAGTGCGTGTGTGTGTGCGCTTGCATGTGTGTGAATGAACTACTGTATGCAAGAGAGTGGGGGATCAGACAGACAGACAGGAGAGAATCGGCTCATAAATGCTATAGTAAGTCTCCTGAAGTCTAGCTAGCTAGTCTCTCTTCCAGGAGTCAATGTGCAGCGAATGCTTGGCTTGCATTCTTATCATCCCCACACTGACTGACTGACCGACTGACTGACCGACACAGACATGGTCAGAAAATAACCAACGCAAACGTACGTCAGCTAGCTGGCAAACTCACAACAACACAGAAGCCTGATAGTACAAGAGAAATTGCAAACGATTTTTGTTTGAGAAAAACTAAACAACAAAGTACATCCATAGATAGAGAAAATGATCAAATGGCACACTGAAATACTTTAGCTGTATTATCATACTGTATATAACAAAAAAGAAAGTATTTACAAAAAACAATACCCACTTTCACTTGGTTGGTTTCTCTTTTTCTTTCTTTTTCATCATTTGAAATTGAGCAAACACATTCTTTTATAGGGAGGAGTGGGAGACATTTTCATATTTGTTTGTGATTCCCCCCCCCCCCCCCCCCCCGTTTTCTAATGCTGTTGGTGTGGTCTGGCGGTGGGTGGGTTGGTCCTCCTCCTACCTCAAGGAGGGGGGAGGGGGGTCTTTTGATGCTGTGGGTGCTGTAGTAGCAGGGGGATCGGGGGGTGGGGGGGGGGGGGGGGGGGGGGGGGGGGGCTGTAGGGGGGTAGGGTGGCTGTAGGGGGGTACAATGGTCGGTGGCGCCCCTCGACTGCTCACGCTGTCAGCTCTTCCCTGAGCTCTTTGTTCCTGCGCACCACCTGGGCATGCCTCTCCTGAGGACAACACAGAGAGAGATTCTGCCATGTTGGACCTACCAGAAACCTCTCAATACGGACCCTGTCCTGAGACTCTCTGGTTCAAGTCTGTCAACTTACTGTCCTCCCCCTTTCAGCTGACATGTTTAACTACAATGGCCAGTGTTTCATCCTTGAATGATGCCACCAGCCCCTACCTATCATATCGTACCCTTATATCTTTTCCACCCCTTCCATTCACCAGGTCTTGCTGTCTCCACCTACAATTTTTCCCACCAAACTGTCCTCTCACCTTCTCCTGCAGGCGCTCCATGATGGAGGCCAGGTAGGCCTGCCGGTTCTCCTTGATCTGCTCCATCTTCATGGTCAGCTTCTCCTCTGCCATCTTGCTGAAGTTGCTGTTCTCCTCCATGGCCTTGAGCAGCACGTCCCTCTCGTGCTCCCGCTTCTCCGCCAGGGCCCTGATAACCTGGGCCTCCTGGGACTGAAGAGGGGAGGTGATAGATTAGAGTAGAGTAGAGTAGAGTAGAGTAGAATAGAGTAAAGTCGAGTAGAATAGAGTAGAGTAGAGTAGAGTAGAGTAGAGTAGAGTAGAGTAGAGTAGAGTAGAGTAGAGTAGAGTAGAGTAGAGTAGAATAATGTAAAGTAGAATAGAATAAAGTAGAAGAGAATAGAAGAGATCCGAATAGAATAGAATAAAGTAGAAGAGAACAGAACAGAATAGAATGCAGGTGGGGGCCAAGATAAGGGTGGGAAGGAAAGGGTAAGAGTTCGTTTTAGTATCATTCCTTTGCCTGATGAATATACTCATTGCTTAGTAATAATAAGTGTAGGAGTCAAAGTCTAAGCCGGGCTAAGGTATAGGCTAAGACAAGTAAGCTAGGACAAAGTTTGTCTAAAGTGTAATTTACTAACGTAATTCAGTGTGATTCAGTTTTGGAATTAAGTTGCTAAGGGAAACTGATAGATGGTGACTCACTCTCCTCCGGTCCTCAGCGGCCTCCAGCTTCTTCTGGATGTCCTCCAGAGAGACCTCCCGCTTAGGGGGCGAGGTGACGCAGTGGGCTGCGTCCGACACAGGGGAGGGGGGCTTCAGGATCACTTCAAAGGCCTGGCCAGAGGCACGCTTGTTGATGGGCTTCACCTCCATGCCTGCTACTACAAGGTGAGAAGTGCATGAGGGTGGGGTATGGGTGTGTGTGTGTGTGTGTGTGTGTGTGTGTGTGTGTGTGTGTGTGTGTGTGTGTGTGTGTGTGTGTGTGTGTGTGTGTGTGTGTGTGTGTGTTGGTAGAGGGGGGACAAGTGGGGGGAAACCACAGGAAACTCAAAATGCTGCCTTTGTAGTGATAATATTACCCCAATCAAACTTTCACTTAGACCAAAAATTGCCTCTTCGTTGCCTTTACAGTACGTTGAAAGTGATTTGAAACATTTAAAAAGTCAGGTGACCCTTCTGCCTACCTTGGAACTCTCCCATCAGGTTCTTGCGTGCCTCGGGGTACAGGCAAGAGCAGAGAAGAGACAGGACAGAAATCTCCTTCATCTTCTCTTTGTATGCTGTGGGGAACACACACACACACAGACGTGCGCACACACACACATCGTTAACCCACTTTCTCCTCCTCATAAATGATCATCCCACATGGCATCGCCATCTTTAGATGTTTAGGAAAATAAATATTCAGCAAATCCTTAAATAGAAAAGAAAAACATGATCATCAAAGCTGGTCTAGTCTAGTGAGATGAATCAGCCTGAGGTTTCTAAGCCCCATTTTGTGGAGCTTTGTTTGTGTAGACTGAAGGGAAGTGGGATGACTGTGTGTGTGTGTGTATGTGTGTGTGTGTGTGTGTGTGTGTGTGTGTGTGTGTGTGTGTGTGTGTGTGTGTGTGTGTGTGTGTGTGTGTGTGTGTGTGTGTGTGTGTGTGTGTGTGTGTGTGTGTGTGTGTGTGTGTGTGTGTGTGTGTACATGCTTGCGTGAGAGGGTGTCTGCTGTGTCCTCATATGTTCTGAACGGTTCACCACCTCCCCACAGCATTCATTCTCCACTCATCATTAGCTATGCATTTCATTTCATTTCAGCTTATAATTTATTTACTTAGCTAGCAGGCTAGGCACCCTTCTTACCCAGTCTGTAGCTAGCACTGGTAACATCCATCAGTCATTTAATAGCAGGGATAGCAGCTAGAGGCTGAATGATTATGGCTGATGTTGTTGAAAGCTACTAGCCTGGAATCCAAACCGAATGGTTCTGTTTCAATATTGTTTCACTTTAAGATTCCAGGCTACAAAGCTCCTGAGATTTGGCACCCAAACTGGGATGAGAACCTACTGTAGCATCCCCATGAGGCAGCCAACAGAGAGGGTAAAACTACTGTGTCATACTGCAACAAACAGTTTGGCTCTCTTCCTCCTGGCTGCTGTGCTGTAGTGTTCAGTACAGTATGCACTGGAGGCACAGTCAGAGTCCAGCCGGGCACCACGGCGTGCCAAACAGCACCCAAGCCTCTATGATCTATCATCCATCACACGCTGTGGGCTGCAGGGCTGAAATGTGCTGCATCGACCACTGACTGATTTCCCTGGCTGGGAGTCAAAACTGAGCAAAGTAAGGCTGAGATTTACAGTTAGACAGCTTCTCCATGGAGGAGAGAAGTGTAGCTAGTGCCTACGGCCGTTCTGCTGTTGCTCACCCAGCCAAACCCTTTCCCTGTCTTTCTGTCTGTTTGAGTGAAGTGTAGCTAGCACCTACAGCAGTGGTGCTGCACAACCAGACAGCTCTCAGCCTAGCAGATGCCACGGGTAATCAGTTGAACTTTCACATGTAGCATTAGCTCGCTGACTCTCCGATGGGCTTGTTAACCTCTCCCAGAAGAGGAGGAGAAAAGGGGAGATGTGGAGAGGACGAAAGCAGGACTGGGTTAACCCCTCCCATAGAGAATAAGAGAAAATGAAAGGGGGGGGGGGGGGTGAAAAGGAGGAAAGGAGGGCTGGTTTGGGCTGGCTGACTCCCACAGGGATCGAGGGACCTCAGGGCAGGCAAATGGAGGCTGCTGCCTTTGGTGGAGCGGTGGAGGGGATTTTCATTTGTAATTACCGGATGTGTGTGTGTGCATCTGTACTTAGATGTGTGTGTGTATTCACTTTACACCCTTTTCCCTTCAGGACAACTTGTCAGGGATGTCAGTGATGTGAACAAATGGTGGTTTAGTGGAGCAGGTCAAAAGATAACTGCCACTGGTAGTTGTGTCAACTTGCTCTTACCCTGGCCTGTTGTGTGTTTTGGTGTTTAGTGAATGTTGTCAACAGACTTAGTTAAACTGATTCAATATGGGCCTGGTACTTATATGATATAATATAGCTTTATATTAAATACATTTCTAAACTAAACATTGTTATTCTATAATGGTGAACTAAAACCACACAATCTCCCTTCTTCCTCCCCCCTTCTTCCTCCCCCTCCTCCCTTCTGCCTCCCCTCCTCCCTTCTTCCTCCCCTCCCCCCTTCTTCCTCCCCCTCCCCCCTTCTTCCTCCCCCTCCCCCTCCCCCTTCCCCTCCCCCTCCCCCTCCCCCTCCTCCCTTCTGCCTCCCCTCCTCCCTTCTACCTCCCCCTCCCCCCTTCTTCCTCCCCCTCCCTCCTTCTTTCTCCCCCTCCTCCCTTCTTCCTCCCCCTCCCCCCTTCTTCCTCCTCTTGCACTGCTGCTGTCCTGTTCTACCTTGTCCCTCCACCTCCACCCCAACCCAATGCTGTCCTGTTCTCCCCGTCCCTCCACCCCAACCCAATACTGTCCTGTTCACCCCGTCCCTCCACCCCAACCCAATACTGGGGCCTTACAGGTCTCCAGGGCCCAATAAGCTAAAACAGCAGCCTCACTGTGTGTGTGTGTGTGTGTGTGTGGGATGAAGCTCATCATTTAGTTTACAACCCATCCTCTAGATGACAATATAATCAGTAGTGTAATTACAGCATTAATGGAGAGCTACAGTGAAAATGGCTATTGAGTGGGATGGTAGGTGGAGGATATTATCAGCGAGGGAGGTTTCAGACATTAGTATGCATTGTTGAACACTGAAATGCAAACAACAGACCAATAAGCCTGAGCCCAAAGTTTGTTTTCTTCATAACCACACCCAAGGAGTCAGGTCCCCTATTTGGGATCCCGAGTGGCGCAGTGGTCTAAGGCACTGCATCACAGTGCTAGCTGTGCCACTAGAGATCCTGGTTTGAATCCAGGCTCTGCTGTAGCCGGCCGCAACCGGGAGACCAATGGGGCGGCGCACAATTGGCCCAGGGTAGGGAAGGGGAGGGAATGGCAGGCAGGGAGGTAGCTCAGTTGATAGAGCATGGCGTTTGCAACTCCAGGGTTGTGGGTTCAATTCCCACGGGGGGCCAGTATGAAAATAATAATGTATGCACTAACTGTAAGTCGCTCTGGATAAGAGCGTCTGCTAAATTATGTAAATGTATATTAGGGTACAATGACTATTTTAACTGAGAGACATTGCTAACGATAGCCTCTCCTCTCTGGCTGGGATATTTCATTTCAGCTTTTGCTTCAGTCGTATACATTTTATTCTACAACTGTTGATGGGTCTTGAGAAGTGATGAATACAGCTCTATGGCAACAAGAGTCACAAGAGTGACTCAGGCAGAACTGGGTTCAGGGATGCACTCAGTGACGCTGCAGAGGCTATGACCTCTGGGGGGCGCCATTGTCCCAGAAAGCTTTGGCCCCTTAACACAAAGAATGGAGAAGAGATATCTGATAGCCACACCTAACTCATAAATCACACAGTAGGCCCTATATATATATATTATAAATCAACGAGGATCTTAATGTATGTTAATGTAAGCATGTTTGATGACCCTAGACAAATCAGTAGCCAAGTGGGCAGAGAGCATAAATTTGAATTTTGGCTTGTTATCTATAGGCCTACAGCTATATGCCATTGGGAGGAAGCTGTGTATACCGCCCACAACTGTCAAATATCCTGCCTGTCTGCCTGTCTGTCTGCTAAAAATGCATTGATCCTAGGCTGTAGGCAACATATCCTTATTGAATCTTTTATAAACAGCAGGGACACGTTTCTATTTCTATCACAGTCACTGTCATTGACAATAAGGTACATTACCAAACAACAACTGATCTGGCCTGCCACCCTGCCGGCCCTTGCTCCCACTGACGACGTCTATGACGATCATGTGCCCTGGGTGTCTGGCCCATCCCACTCGCCCAGTGTCTGTCTACAACTCAATAATAATAATAAAACATAACTAACAGCTATGCGGCCAGGCCGAGACATAATGAAACAGCCCGCTGCAGGTGCAGACAGACGTAAGGACTTGACACAGTTAAATGTATTGCTGTTTGTCTGCACCCTTATCCATCCATCACCGACCTATTCATCCGGAATAAAAGTAGTCCCTTGACCGTCGCCATAGAGACGGGTCTCAGCTCACTCAAAAGGGCCCTAAATCCGCATGAAAGTGCTCCATTAAGCATAAGACAATATTGGATAGGTCTATACTATTTATACTCCCAAATGTCTTAAAACATTTATCGTGACTGACTTTAAGCAAATCAGGCCCAGCTCATGCAATAAAAATTATATCAAGACCTGGCATGAAATTACTGGAATATGATGACACATTTCAACTTCCATCAATTCCTCCATATAACCAAATAGACATGTTTAGATCATAAATGGAATGACAGGGAAATCATCGGCAACTAGGAATACATTTGACTACATGATTAGTATCCATGTAGATTGGAGAAAAATAATCACAACCTACAAACGACAATTCGTTTTCATTGCAAGTCGTAATTCTTCACCAGACAGCTTTAGCACAGATATAAAGAGTGCAACTAGAGATTAATTTATTCTCATGCATTCCTCTCATCATTCAATTTGATTGAGCATAAGATTATAATAAATAGTAGCCCAGTCCCTATAAAAATATTTGCAAAGGGTTTGTCTAATTCTGCTCTGCGCTGGTGAGGAGAGAGAGAGACCGTGATGTTGGGTGCGGTCGTTCTGCATTATGCTGTTGTATGAGCATGTGTTGGTCTACAGCGGCAGGTGCGGCAGCCAGCATCCATAAGAGCGTCTATCCTGCTCGAATAATCTACAGCAAATGTGGCCATAGGATTTCTTCAATCTAGGCTATTTATTCGCTTTACGCACAATGTAAAAAGGGATATTGAATATGCCTATAATTAAATGTTATCGGGCTATCTCATAAACTGTAGCCTACTAACATCATGATATAGAATGAAATAAAAAACGAATGCGTGCAGTTCAGGCTCAAGGTAAACACAAGCAAAATGATTGCATCCCATTTGCAAGTTTAAAAATATATATTTGTTGACATGCGACAGACTTTGACCGCTCCCTTGAAGAAATGCTTGGCAGTCTTTTGTGCCAAGGGTGTCGCCGCTGCATGCTCACACAGCATCCTTACAGCCGCACGCAAAACCACCACCCAACGCTCTGTGACTGTCAACTCGTCCCCAAAACACAGATAAATAACGGTAAACCGTTAGCTTACCAATTGCTGTTTTAGCCATGTCAGTCGGTTTGTGCGGCGTTGGTGGCGCTGAAGTGGGCTATAGGCTACTGGAGGGAGCGTGCGTCGCAGTTTCTGGTCCGTGCTTGGCGAGAAAAGGGAGCAAGGCACTGAGTCAGCAAGAACACTGCTATGTGCGGAAAGAGAGCACTGCGCGAGACAGCAAGGGGTCTCATGAATTACAAGCGTCTATACGTGCTCAAGCAGATTGGCTACCGCGGTCCCCTGACGCGCATTTCCAAGGCAAGAGACGGTCGCTTTTTCCTCTAATGTCCCTGTGTATAGGATAGTTCAAGTCGCCCCTATTAAAGGTGACGGGGTGGGTGTTATCCCTCTTTGTTTTCTCTAATGGTGCCGCCCGTAAAAAAAAGTATTGTCAGAGCTGGAACCTGTCCTAATAGCTCTTGTCCATGGTGCTGAAATGGCATCCGAGAGAGGGAGCCTACTAACAGGCTTAACTTAATGGAAATAAACGTTGAAGGTAAATGAAACGTAACTTCACCCCAATTTATAGGCCTAGTGTTTCGTGTGTGACATAATTACAAGGTAACACATAGGCCTACCGGTGAAATGTTGACATTGATGTTTTAATGCTACTCTGTAGCGTATTTATTGGTATAAAATTATATCTAGGCTATAGGTGTAGTCTTCTTCCTATGCCTTTGTGATTGCATGATAAAGTAGCCTATCCAGAATTGAGACCTATAATGTTAAAGTAGGCCTATCTGACAAAATCGAATTGTGAATGACCTCTCCACAATGTTCCCTCTTCACCCACTAGATGTCAGCAGACAGTTAATTTACTAGTTCCCAACAAGCCCTTCACTTCAGCCGTCAACCAGAGTGGGCTATGAATTAGGAAAACAAAAGCAAACGTTATAATAAATGGATATGGTCTTTATTTAGTTCACTTTTACGGAAAAGTCACATGATCACGTTCATTTCACATGTGAAATTCATGTGACTTTTCCGGCTATTTAAATTTTTTAAATTGAATTTTAAACCTTTATTTAAGCAAGGAGTCATGCTGAGACCATGGTCTCTTATGCAGATGAACCCTGCATGAACACATCAATAAACAATTACACTATACATATCCGTATACACATCAATTACACAATACATGAAAAGCAAACACAAAACATGAAAAGCAAAACACAATCATACGAAACAAACCTCTGTAGCTCAATTGGTAGAGCATGGCGCTTGTAACGCCAGAGTAGTGGGTTCGATCCCCGGGACCACCCATACGTAAAAATGTATGCACACATGACTGTAAGTCGCTTTGGATAAAAGCGTCTACTAAATGGTATATTATTAACATCCAGGAATAAGAGATTCGAAATAAAATATGTCACCAATTACTGTTTGAAAACGAATATTAAAACATATTTTACACTCCAAACATGCACAAATTCCCATAGGAATAAAGCCATTTTAAAAGCGCAGGGCTTGTGCAACGTGCCATGCCTTCATGTTTTGTTTTATAGGAATTATATACATATGAGAAAGCTGAAGTCTCTACCTCTCCATTGACGTAAATATATCTCCTGTCCACAAGAGGTTGGTGGCACCTTAATTGGGGAGAACGGGCTTGTGGTAATGACTGGAGCGGAGCAAGTGGTATGGTATAAAATACATCAAACACATGGTTTCCATGGTTTCCAGGTGTTTGATGCCATTCTATTTGCTCCATTCCAGACTTTCAAGTTATGTTTATTTTATTTATATTTGTTTTATAAGACACAGACAGGTGAGGAAACTTAAAACTTATTTTCCCACTCACTTTTAGTATTGTAAACAAGTCAGATATATCAACTGCGCATGTGGAGGATGCATACAAGGTAATGTGGATATAGAAGGAAATGCATTTCTTTACAATGACCATCAGGGTGTACCCTTTCCATGCAGGCCAATTTATGAAAGCCTCTGAATAAGTAATGAGTAATCCACAGTGTCGAAGGCTTTAGACAGGTCAATGAAAAGGGCTGCAAGGTGTTTCTTCTTATCCAAACAATTAAGAACATAATTTAAAACCAAAGAAGCAGTAGAGATGGTGCTATGACCTGGTCTGAAACCTGACTGGTGTACATTTAGAATACATTTCATAGTTAAAAATAATCTAAAGTTGAGTATTTACCAAGGATTCTAGAATTTTTGCTAGGCAAGAGAGTTTGGAAATGGGGCGATAATTATTTAGGTCACACGGGTCACCACCTTTGTGAAGGGGGAGTATATGAGCCTCCTTCCAGACCCTAGGGATGGTACCAGGGGGAATATATGAGCCTCCTTCCAGACCCTGGGGATGGTACCAGGGGGAATATATGGGCCTCCTTCCAGACCCTGGGGATGGTACCAGGGGGAATATATGAGCCTCCTTCCAGACCCTGGGGATGGTACCAGGGGGAATATATGGGCCTCCTTCCAGACCCTGGGGATGGTACCAGAAATAATTGTACGGTTATAAATATGTGTTAAAGATTCTGCAATCAGAGGATAAGAAAGCTGCAGCAAGAAAAGATCAAGCAAATCAGCCCCAGTGGAAAGGTATTTTTGATTTATTTTTTACATCAATCTTGCGCAAGGCATCTAGCACATCACAAGTAGAAAGTTATTGAAGTTAAAACAAAGATTCACTAGAAATTGACAGGAACTTCCAACGAGCCAAATAGAGGCTGGGAGAGGGGCAGGCAGTCGACTGGCTGACCAGGGTCCATTAAGCTACAATTTCTTTCAAATAAAATTCTGATTAAAAGCATCACTTATCTAATTTTTCTCAGTAATGATGCCAGAGTCTGACACAACTTGCTTAGGCAGGGAATGAGAGGAATTTTCACACTTCAGTGCATTCATTAACTGTTTTCCAAAATGTAGATGGATCACCAGCAGTCTGAGATATAACTTAGAAAGTAGCTAGTAGATTTAGCTTTCTTGATTGAGGAAGTGCATTTATTTCTCAATTGCCTGAAAAGCCGCCAATCAGCTACAGAGTCAGTTTTTCTAGCCTTGGCCCAGGCCTGATTTCTTATGCGTTAAAATATCTGAAAGTTCTATACAGTACCAAGGATTTGTTATATTTTTTACTCTAAGGCGTTTAAAGGGAGCGTGTTTGTCTGCCAGAGAGCTAATTCAGGGTAAGGCATGCTACTGATAGAGGAGAAGTCAGAGTAATACTGTGCATATCATGAACAAAAGTTTGTGGGGAAAAAAGGTTTAAATGTCTCTTTATAATTATACGAGGATCAGTGTTAATCGGTTTGGTATCGCTAATACATAAAGGAAATATAGGACACTGATCAATAGCAAAGACACCCACTGGACAAATACTTGTGGGGGCTATTTATGGAAATGGTATGGTGTTTCCATAGATAACAGGGGCTAAGGCACTACTGTTTGGGGTAAATAATCAACACAATAACCAGGAGGACCCAGCCACCTGACACCCCAGAGTAACTGATTAACTATAATGGACCTCTTTAGGAATGGGTGAATTAGTATCAGACGGTCATTTAGGGAAACTGAAATAGATGCACTTCACACACACATGGCTCATACACCATCATCATCCAGTGAGATTGTGAACTAATCTTTTGCAATTGCAATTTCAGGAGTGTTCAAATCACTATCAGGCACACAGGTTTCCCTTCGCACAGAACAGGAGATCAAGGAGCTCAGCTAGATCAGCGCCCCTCAGTCCCCTGGTTAGGTTTTAGTCATAAATGTTTAAATACAATCGTATTTCATCATAACTCACCTCAACAACTAACTTCAACCTGACTTTAAATAGATGCTTCAAACTCCTAACCATATATTCATCATCATCACCTCCCCCAAGTGAAGGAGAAGCGGGGAAGTTAGCATGCGACGTGCTTCACGAGCTAGTGATGATGCATCTTTCATGTACTAGTTGGAACTAGGAAACTCGGACATTTTCGACTTGCAGATTCGTAGAACGCGGCACGTGTATAATTACAAGCAGTTAACAAGTCGGAAACTTCTGAGTTTCCTAGTTCCGTATAGTAGCTGAACGCGGCAGAAGAGGAGGCCAGCCAACGATAGTCAAACAGCCATCATTGAGTAATTTTGCATATGGGGTTCGAGTCTCATTGAAGATCTCAAGGTAAGGTATTTTTGAAGAGAATTTGATTTAGCTTCTTACCTAATTAAAATATGTTAAACTAGCCAGCTGGTTCTAACTTGCTAGCTACACTAGATAGCTTGCTAAACGTCACTAGATTGAACTGCCACGCTCATGCAACATAAGCATGTGTCATGTTGGAAAGGGTTCAAAATTGGTAAAACTGTTTCATACTGTTTAGTATTTACTCGAACTACCTGGCAAATGTGTTATCTAAGTTGATCATTTTTGGGAGTTGTTTAACTGCAAGTAGTTCTATTAGCTAACTAATTTAGAAAGCTACCCACAAAGATTATCTAGCTACAATACTGTAAAACGATGTGGCGCAAAACAGCGTGTTGCTAGCTATTCGGCATGCCTACTAGCTAGCTGCAGTAGCTACTTAAGTATATTTACGGAACGGAGCATGTGAGTCTGCTGTGACTAATGAATTAAAAAAACTACTAGTTATGTAATTATGCTTGCCAAGTGTCTAGTTTTGCATTTGCAGTTTGTCCGTTTTGCAACTTGTGTCCACGTTTGACTGCCTGGTACTGTGTATGGAACTTCCGCGATGTGGACTTAATTTATTGCACTATGGTTTGATGAGAATATTATAACTAAACCAAGCTAGACCCCAGCCCGTCGTTTCAAATGGGAACAAATGAGTCCTAGTGGGCAGAACAAGCAAGGAGGTGGCACAAGCTAGCGACATCCTATTGGCGCGTTCTAGTTTGCGTTTGCATATTTCCGTTAGGGAACGCCTACTCTGAAGTGCGCGTGTGTGTTAACTCAATTCGCCTTTGCACTCATTTTACATTTACATTTTAGTCATTTAGCAGACGCTCTTATCCAGAGCGACTTACAGTTAGTGAATACATCTTTTTTTATACTGCCCCCCCGTGGGAATCGAACCCACAACCCTGGCGTTGCAAACGCCATGCTCTATCAACTGAGCTACATCCCTGCCGGCCATTCCCTCCCCTACCCTGGACGACGCTGGGCCAATTGTGCGCCGCCCATGAGTCTCCCGGTCGCGGCCGGCTGCGACAGAGCCTGGATTCGAACCAGGATCTCTAGTGGCACAGTTAGCACAGTGCCTTAGACCACTGCGCCACTCAGGAGTATCCACTGCGCCACTCAGGAGTACACTCCTTCTAAACAACAACAAAAATTAAAACCTTGGCAAAGGGTAAAGTCTA